TCTGTTATACAAAATCAAGACACGTTTTCTGCACCAGATCATCAGCTGCCCAGGGGTGATCCGTGTGTGGGATCAGTGTCTACCAACAGGAAGTAGAAGCCAGGAGTCAAGGAACCCTGAGCCACCTCTTGATATCTCAAGAAGGGGCAATACTTTGGCACTGGATATAAAGAGTGCCGGTGGAGCTGTCTGGGGAGAAGGAAGGAACCGCTATTTCTTTCCGACAAAGCCATATTCTCTTGTTGCCTTTGAGAAGTAAGAGAGGAATAACCTCATGCCTGATACAGATTTAGTTCATGGAACGAAAAAGAGATATTTGTTAGAAGCATCCTATGTATTTCCTTATGTGTCTTCCTTTATACTCTTCCATTCTCCCCTCCCCATCTATTTTAGGGAAAGGATTCTTCTTCTCTACCCTCCCCTCCCTCCAATAAACTGGATGCTTTAACCTTGGGAAGCACAAGTGTCCCCTAAGGGGCGTCCTCCCTAACAAGTATAATTCATGGAAGCTGTCATAACCATACAAGCAGCTGACTGCCAATTTCTAAGCTGAAGTGGCTTCCAAGCATCCAGTTTTACCTTATCTTACCTCCTAGAAATGTCAAGTTTCTAGCTCAGTGACAGCTGTGACAAAATAGCTTTGCCAGGGATGCAGTGAGACCCTCTGCTGCTGACATAAAACTCATGAACGAGCCCTCTAAGATGTACTTCTATGGGCATCCATCAACATTCTGTCACTCCGAGTGGACCTCTTTATGTCTACACAAACTGTAGAAACCTGTGCCCTATATCTGTCCAGGCGTAAGAACATTTGAAATACACTGCTTGCTTCAGCTATCCAGAAGCTTGAGAAGGTGCAAGAAACTGACTGCTGCAAATTCTCATTTGATGGACCTGTCAGAGGATAGCACCAATTATTAACCAGCTCAGGTATTTATAAAAAGGTAAAGGTTCCCTTGCTCGAAAGCCACTCGAATCCGACTCTAGGGTTGCGGTGCTCATCTCCGTTTCCAAGCCGAAGAGCCAGCCCTGTCCGAAGACATTTCCGTGGTCATGTGGCCGGCATGACTAAACACCAAGGCGCATGGAATGCTGTGACCTTCCCACCAAAGTCGTACTTATTTATCTACTTGCAATTTCTTGCTTTCGAACTGCTAGGTTGGCAGGAGCTGGAACTAGAGTCGGGAGCTCACTCCGTCATGCGGCACACTCGGGTCTCGAACTGCTGAACTACTGACTTTCCACAGCCTGCAGTTCAGCGTCTTAACCACTTGAGCCACCGCAGCGCCTAACGCTGATATAAAGAAGTATTAATGATGCCAGCAACAATCCAACCATATTAGTTAGTGACAGGATAAATCAGCAAAGCAGAGCAAAAGGGGAATTAGGTATGGACTCGAGAAAATAAAAACATTTGCTATTCTCTGGATGGAAGAACAGGGAAGCATTGACCCGCTTCCTAAGAGGCCTGCCTCATGGAAATGCTGACGGGAAAAGAGTCTTGGACACTTCACATAATTCCTGTTTAGGACTAGCTTAGAAGCACAGGAAACGCCTGTGAAGATGTGCTCTTTATCATCCAAACATACCTGCTTCTAGGGTCAGAATACTACCCTACAAGACCATGACCACAAGAACATTAAGAACAGCCCTGCTGTACCAGACCAATGGTCCATCTAGTCCAGCATCCTGTCTCACACGGTGGCTAACCAGTTCCTCTGGAGGGCATAGAGGCTGAGGCCTCCCCCGATGTTGCCTCTTGATACCGGGATTCAAAGGTTCAGTGCCTCTGAATGTGGATTAGTACCTCAATCTCCCTTGCTAGTAGCCATTGACGGCCCTATTCTCCATTAATCTAAAACCCTTTTAAAGCTGTTTATTCCTGTGGCCATCACGACGTCCTCCGGCAGCAAATTCCACATTTTAATCACTCGCTGTGTAAAGAAGTATTTCCCTTTGTCTATCTTGAATCTACTGCCCATCAGCTTCAACGAATGCCCTCAAGTTCTAGAATTTTTGGAGGAAAGGGGAAAACTGCCAACTCTTTTTGAGCATTTTGAGATACAGGGACCAGAACTGTACACAGTATTCTACATCACCATAGAGCTATACAGGGGCATTATTATATCAGACGTTTTAGAAGAAGAAGAGAAGAGATTGGATTTATACCCCGCCCTTCACTTGGAGTCTCAGAGCGGCTTACAAACTCCTTAGAGTAGCTCACAAAGTAGAATTTTTGCTCACAAGACTCCATGGCTTAGAGGGAGCATTGCTCATAGGGTGTCTGCTGTGGGGAGGGGAAGGGAAAGGAGTTTGTAAGCTGCTCTGAGACTCCAACTGAAGGGCGGGGTATAAATCCAATCTCCTCCTCCTCTTCCTCTTCTTCCTCATCTTCTTCTTCTCCTTCTTCTCCTTCTCCCTTCTTCTTTCTTCTTCCTTCTTCTTCTTCCCCCACCCCTGCTATGGTTGCTGTGGTCCAGATCCAAGGTGAGGGGCCACGGGGCTCAGCTTCCTGCCCCCAACCCTCCAGAAAAGGGGCCCTCCGGGAACTTTCCCAAGCAGTTAAAGGGCCAGTCCACCCTGACTGTTACTGAAGGTCCTGCTGTGTGCTTGGCTGCCCCAGCGCCTGCCCTGCACCAACGGCGCTCCCTTCCCCAGAGCCCCTCCTTCATCATTGACCTTTAATACGAGCCACATGTTCCTTCTTTCCACTCAGCAACCTGTGCTACACATGAAACAACATTTGCTTGACTTGTGTGGGAAGTTGGCAAACCTTCCGAAAATCCAGGAACCAGGAATGCAGCTTTTCTGTATCATCTGCAAACTTGGCCACTATACTCCTCAACCCTAGTCCCAGATCATTTTTGAATAATCACAGTACCGGAACCAGGAATGCAGCTTTTCAGGATGGCCCACCGTGGTCTGAAAGTTGTAAATTTTTTATTTTTATTTTCAATGCATAATTGAGTTTACAGCTCTTCCCCCCCACCAGACAGCAGGAGAGCAACAATTCCCCCCCCCCCCTCTTCACTGTCAGCCTTGGTTTTCACCACCCTGAATGATTCTGCATCTTCTGCAAACTTGGCTACTACACTCCTCAACCCTAGTTCCAGATCATTTTTGAATAATCACAGTACCTGAGGGGGAAAGCAAGCTTGCATTGATAGGTATTGCAAGGGCATGAGGATTTATATCTCCAAGGCATGACTTGTGGTTTGGAATGAGGAGGAGCAGCGCTTCGACTAGCTCTGTTTGTCTTGGGCAGAGATGGACTTCAGCAACTTACTGGCCGCTTGAGTGTCAGCAGGGGTCATTCATCCCACGACTACGAAGTTCACTCAGGAGTCTTTGGTGAGGTACCTTGTCAAAAGCCTTTTGAACGTCCAAGTACGTAATGTCTACCGGGCCACCGCTGTCTATGTGATTGTTCACTTTCTCAAAGAATTCCAAAATAAAGGGATTAGAACTGTAATGTAATGGAACAGGTCAGGAGGTTGCTTTTATGATCAAACAGGATTCTGTATTGCAGTGCTTATCGTATGTATCATCTTGCTTTTACTGCACTACCTTTGTCTACTTTCTCCACTGTGGTATGTCATGCCTTAGACAAGTAGTTTGGGGGGCATTGTTTTCCAGTTCGCTGAATTTAATGATAGGTTACATATAAGGGTTAGTTGCTATCTCACATTTCAGTTCCCGAAGAACTCTTGGGTGTACGCCATCAGAACCTGGAGACTCAATAGCTTTTAACTTCCACAACAGGTCTAGAACTCCATCTCTCAAAACCTCAATTTGATTCAGATCTTCAGACTCCCTTCCTGAAAATAGTGCATCAGCGGTTGGCCCTTTCTGGTGCTCACCCAACATGGCAAAACAGAGCTGGGGCCATGTCAGGATTCAAACAGCCCAGTGTGGCGTGGGAGAATCTTCTAATCAAGTAAACTCGGGTGCTAGGGTTGCCAGCCTCCAGGTGGTACCTGGAGATCTCCTGCTATTGCAACTGATCTCCAGAGAACAAAGATCACTTCCCCCGGAGAAAAGGGCTGCTTTGGAGGGTGGGCTCTATGGCATGCCCAAAACCCCACTCTCCCCCAAATCTCCAGGTTTTCCCCAGCCTGGAGCTGGCAACCCTAGACTGTGCCTCAGGACTGGGTCTACTGTGGGCAGTCTTAGAGGGAAATCACCACCAGCAGAGCTTCTTGATTTATTTACAGCATCTATATCCCTCCTTTCTGCCTTTCCAAGGGCTGCCGAGGCAAACAAATCTAAAACATGCATTATAAAATTACATTATTACACCATGAAAACCAACCCCCATGAACTCATATCATTAAAACAGTTTTTAAAGAATTCAAAAATGGAGTTAAAACACAGACAAAACAGTTAAAATACATAAGTAACATTACAGAACACAAAAGACATTGGTTAGGAAGGAGGGATCATTGAAGCAATGCCAAATGAAACAAACAAGTCTTCACCCACCAGCAAAAGACAGCAACAGAAGGTGACAGATGAATCTCCCTAGAGTGAGAGTTTCAGAATAAGGGTATGCCAAAAAAGGGGGGGGGGAATTTTGCGATCCCACGGCCGCGCTTGATGCGGCATTCCCGGTAAATCCACCTCTGGGGGTGGTTCTTTTTTACTGTGGGTTTTCGGCCTGAAGGGCCGGATTTGGGACGGGTGTGCACCGCTTCCCAGATGCTGCGGTGAGATCGTGCCCGTTTGCTGCGCCCCCGATCCGTCCCTCTCCCGGGCCAAAACCTTCCGTGTGACCGGGGCCTTGTGTTTCCTTTTCAGCTTCCTTTTAACTATTCCCCTCATTTTTGTAAAGTTCCCTCTTTTGAAACCAACCCTTACAGTTCTGGACTTTAGGGGTAACTTTCCATTAACCTGAATGCTGAACTTAATAGCATTGTGGTCACTGGAACTAAGAAAAGAAAGGAAGTGCAGGATTATGGAAGTGAAAAAGGCACACACACACTTCAATATGTCGCTCTTACCCTTGCTGTACTGAAGCACTCTGTGAACTTTTTCGAACCGTAGACCACAACAGAGAGGCTAAAACAGAAAGAATGAAAGGGTCACACTGAAATCATCCTCATTGTTTTAATACTGAGCTTTACCAAATCCAGAATGAATAGGAAAGGCAATAGAGCAGAAAATAAAGGTGGATGGATTTATATTGTTCTCACTTCTTTAAAACACCTATTTAGTCTGAACACAAATATAAACAGACACCAATTCAGGCTCAAAATAGTCCCCATTCATGTGAGATGTAAAAGGAGTAGAAAAAGAAAAGTGGGCTGAGCATTATGTTGCAGGAATTGGGGCTTGGTTCTAATAATCCATCCAGTGTTTCAGCTTTTCTATCTGAAATGGTCGGAAAATTTTAAGATTAAAACAGTGTTCCAAAATCTACTGTAGTGACAAAGTAACAACCAGCAGAAATAATGAGAATAGAGTGAAAAATGATGATCATTAACTTGACCAAATTAATAGTGAAAATCCCCTCTTGGAAGCTGAATCTAACAGCTTATTAGTTTAATCACATTTTTGCAATCACAGTATTGAATTTACTTTCCTCGCAGGGAAAGACAACGTGTTCAGAGTAATTATTTATAGGAGAGTTAATACAAAAGTGCAGAAGGTAAACTGAACAAGTTACTCTGAATAGCACCTTTAAGCAGCTGCTTTGTAGAAACCGTGGATGCTGGTGTTCCCTACCTGTCCTCAGTACATACAAACATGTCAGTTGCATTACCACAAATGCTTAAAAGATCATACATTTTAATAGTAGGAGCTTTCTTAATCATTTACGTGATGCTCCAGTGATGAAAACTATAGCTGGTTTAAGGAGATTAGGCAAAGCTAATAAGCAGAGGAAAAGTAAGCTGGTTCAAACCTATCTTTAGCTGTGGTCTGCGTATGGATGCATGTTTCCAAATGCAAAACGTATTGTACACTTCACCAAATTGCTGAGATTTAAGGTTTATTACCTTGGAGCCCAAAGGGAGTTGCATATGAAATGCTGGGAAATTCTAGCCTTCCCCGCCAAACCCAAATCTCTTCCTCCAAGATACTAGAAACACTTCACTGTTTGAGCAGGCAAATTTACCTCTTCTATCTTCCACGGTTTTCTTTTTCCCTAATCAACACTACAATGGCAATGGGTATATATTAAGACACTGTGGGATTGTTTTTTTAAAAAAATATATACAAACTAACATCTTTTCTGCATACCTGGAGTATCCTTCAAGTTTAGGGTTGCCACCCTGTCAACCAACAGGAGACTCACCAGTGGTGGGGCCATTCTAGCTGGCGACACAATGACATCACTCACAACGCAACCAAAAGTGACATTCTTGCATCACCGGCAATGCTCTAGAACTTGTCCAAATGTTTATGGTTTAACCAGAGTTTTGGCCAAATGCTTAAGCTTTGTCAGCGAAGCAACACCAGAAGTGACACCATCACATGGCTAGCAACCACACACCATTTTTCTCCCAATACCCAGCTGAACAGCAGTGGGAACGGGGGGGGAGAGACGGACACAGGTTCATCCCTGTTCTAGTGTGCAAAAACCCCTACCTTGTCTATGGCTGGGTTTGTTTCACTTCCCCAAGAATACACAATCAACCATGAAATCTGGTATTAGAGGCAACAGGTGCTAATGCATAAGAAATCCTCTTATTGACTAAAATTCCTCTGCTTTCTAATGGCCACTAGGCAGACAGGACTTAGCTACATGATTGCTATCAGTACAAGTGTCCTTTTTGAGGGGCTAATTTGGAAACCCATTATTTTTCTGCACACCTGGAGTTTCCCCACAGTTATACAGAAATCTTCTTGCTGCCTGTTTTGGTCCATACGAGATCAGCACAGGTCACCCAAAGCTCAGAAATTATGGTTTCCTGACTCATCTTTTTGTTTATAGGGAGCGGTGGCACAGGGGATTTTCCCCTGGCTTAACGATAACACCTGAACTGCCAAGCTTTGGCAGTTCTAGCCCCATGCTGGTTTGAGCAACCAAGCCTTGTTCTAGCTCATTGTCTACCCAGCGATTCGAAAGCTTCGGCGAGTAGATAAATTGGGGACCACCCGCAAGGGGGTGGGCACACCCCTCCCTTCGGGAAGGTGTTAGCTGCCGAGTGCGACTTCTGAGGCGCGGCGAGATCGGAAAGATGAAAGAGCTGTGTTGGCTTCCCTGCAGTGGAGCGAGTCGGCCAGGCGGTGGCAGTGTGGCAGCACGACATCAAGAAGCCCTGATGTCATCAGCCAGCCGACAAGAATACATGCCGTCGGAACACGACCGATCCAGCCCACAGATGAAGCCCCGGCTAGCTGCAATGTGTGTGTAATTAAAATGCTGTATGTTGTCTTCCCTATCTCCACGAACATTGTTAGTCCAACTGTCAAAGAGTAACTGTAAAATCGCTCTGAGCCCACAGGTGTGTAGGAAAGAGCGATTAATAAATCAAAAGTATTATTATTATAAAGGGATTTTTTAAATTAGATACTCCTGTGGGTAGTAAAAAAAAAATTATAAGAAAGTCTCGAATACCGCAGTTAGCAGAAAGCACTTTTGGAATTGTAAGTAGGCTACCTCTAGACAATATGGGAGGAAGTGGAAGCTGAGGGACAGATATCAACATTTATTCATGTAGGCTACAGATTTAGCTTGGGAGCTAAACCAGAGTGGCCAGTTAGTACTGGGATGGAAGCCCACCAGGGAAGACTGGGGTTGCTGTGCAGAGGAAGGCGATAGCAAACCGCCCCTGCCCGTCTCTTGCCTGGAACAACCCATGGGCAAGTGATGCTCTGTCTTCTTGGTGCTTGGGGGGGGGTCAACAGTGGGAGGGCTTCTAATGTCCTGGCCCCACTGGTGGACCTCCTGATGGTACCTGGTATTTCTGGCCACTGTGTGACACAGAGTGTTGGATGGGATGGGCCATTGGCCTGATCCAACATTGCCTTCTCTTATGTTCTTAACTATGTAGCATTTATTTGATGCTTATAATATTGAGGGGCAATTAGATTTAAATAAGGGATCATAACTTATAAATAATTTGATGGGGATTTGTGGAGATGATATTGAAAATTATATAACGAATTGTAAATTAAAACTGGAAGAAGACCTTTGTATTTCTGTTTTGCATTAAGTTTGAGCATAGAAAAGCAATAGATGTATTGCATGCAATCTGGTGTAAGGATTTTAGATGTTGGGGGAACAATAACTAAATGACTGTAGATTGCTTAGACAAGAAAGTAACTCTTAGAAAACTTGTTAGCCTATTGAGACAATTTTATAGAAAAACAGTAGTGTAATACTTAGAGGTTGCTTAAACAGCTAATGTATTATGATAGTAAGCACAATATGCAGGTTTGTATGTATGTATGAGGTAGCTGCGGTGGCTCAAGTGTTTAACATGCTGAACTGCAGACTGAAAGGTCAGTAGTTCAGCAGTTCGAGACTCGAGTGCTGCGTGACGGAGTGAGCTCCCCTTTGTTGGCCCAGCTCCTGCCAACCTAGCAGTTCGAAAGCAAGAAATTGCAAGTCGATAAATAGGTACCGCTTCGGAGGGAAGGGAACAGCATTCCGTGCGCCTTGGCGTCTAGTCATGTTGGCCACACAGCCACAGAGAAGTCTTCGGACAGCGCTGGCTATTCGGCTTGGAAACGGAGATAAGCGCCGCATCCCTAGAGTAGGATCCGACTGGCTCTCAAGCAAGGGAAACCTTTACCTAATGTAACACTGAACTGCAGGCTGGAAGGTCTAGTGCAAATTGATCATGGTGCACCCTAGGGTTATCTTCTGTTTTTTGTTGGCGAGGTGCAGGGTCATAGGCTATGTTTAAAAGTAAAATGATGGAGCCAAATTCAGTCGTCATGATGACAGTCATTTCAATGACCCTCTCTGCCCCCTTTTTAATTTCAGCCCCCTGTAAACGTCAAAAATGAAGCATGTTCAGTTGAGTGGTGCGCAAAAGGAGGGAAGGGGGAGGCACCAAGATTGGTCAGTGCTTAGGGCACCAGTGAGCCTTCACCCGCCCCTGCTCATATATGTATGCATGGTTTTTGTTTGAAAAATAATAAAAAATCTTCCATGATTAAAATAAAATTTTTAAAAAGGAAAAACGAGGAACAAACGGGAGGAAGGGAGAACAGCAAAGCGTTGCAGGCCCAAGCTCGCAGGAGGAAAAAAAACTGGAAGCAGAACTTAAAAAAAAAAAAAAAAAAGGGGTCCTGCCGGACAGGACGCCAGCAAGACCGAACAGCAACGTAGAGGGGGCGGCAGACGCGATAAAAAAGTCCCCAGGCAGAGAACCGAACCGCAACCCCGAGCAGTGACCAGGCCCCGGCCACATTGGGGTGGGGGGAGCCAGCCAGCCGCCCTGCCCGCCGTCTCACCTCTTCCCGCTCGACTCCAAGCGCGCCCACACGAAGCCGCCATCCCCGCCAGCGCCATCGCCGCCTCCCCTTCTTCCCCGTCCTAGCAACGGAAACGGAAGTGTCACACGGCACGGGGGAGGAGGAGTCGCGGCGTACTAGGGCCGGCAGGAAACACGGGCCGGGCAGGAACGGGCCGCCGCGGCGTCCTCCTCCTCCTCCTCCTCTCGGGGTCGTTTCTTCTCCCCGCTGGAGACGTCGCGATGGGGACCCTCGTCGAGGGCTTCGTCTCTCGGCAGCTGGAGCTGCTGCAAGAGGAAAGAGAGGCCGAGATCTCGCAAGCCAGGTACCGCCGGCGGGCCCCGGGCAGCAGGGCAGGGCTCGCTTGAATGTCCAGAGCCACACAGAGCTAGAAAACGTCCGATGTCGGAGAGCCGCCAGGGGCGTGAGCAAAACCCGTGGGTTGTATTTTGTTCATGCCTTGCAGCCAAGGGCAGATTCACCATGAAGCAGACTGAGGCAGGTGCTTAGGGCGCCAGGGCCACAGGGGGCACCACAAAGTCGGGGAAAGGGGTGAAAAGCTTCGTTTGCACAGTCTATGGTGTTATCCTATGAGTAAAATTTTGTATGGCTGCACCCTGCATTGTAGATCTGGCCAGGCAGGTCAACGACTCAAATGGACTGGGGGTCAGTGTGGAAAGGAGGGGGGGGCACCGAGATGGGTCAGTGCTGAGGGCACCGGTGAGCCTTAATCCGCCCCTGGTGCTAGCCACTTGTTATTATGACTGCCGTCTGCTCTGATCTCAGGCGTTTCATCAGCCATGATACATACAACTGCCTCATACACTGACTTGTAGCACCCTTGCCTCTAATCTTAAGTTTTGCCATCTCCCTTCATACACTAAGACTGTGACTTTACCACCAGTCTCTATTCCACCATAGGAACCTGGATTCAGAAGGAAACAATGGGCAGGCAAGGTTCTGCAGTTGAAGCAGACTAAGCACCTGTTTAGGGCACCAGGGCCACAGGGGGCACCACAAAGTTGGGGAAAGGGTGAAAAGCTTTGTTTGCACAGTCTATGGTGTTATCCTATGAGTAAAATTTTGTATGGCTGCACCCTGCATTGTAGATCTGGCCAGGCAGGTCAACGACTCAAATGGACTGGGGGTCAGTGTGGAAAGGAGGGGGGGGCACCGAGATGGGTCAGTGCTGGTGAGCCTTCATCCGCCCCTGCATATCAATATCTGTTTCCCCCCCCCCTTTTGTTGTTGTTGTTGTTGTTTTGGGGGGGCAGTCTCATCTATAATGTTTATAAAAAAGCAAATCCGCATATTTTTCAATTAAAAAACCTGTGGGTTATATTTTGTTCATGCCTTGCAGCCAGGGGCAGATTCACCATGAAGCAGACTAAGCAGGTGCTTAGGGCGCCAGGGCCAAAGGGGGCACCACAAAATTGGGGAAAGGGTGAGAAGCTTAGTTTGTACAGTCTATGGCAGTGGTGGCGAACCTATGGCACAGGTTTTTTAAATTGAAAAATAGGTGGATTTGCTTCTTTTTTTAAAATTAGCATTATAGATGAGACTGCCCCCCAAAACAAAAACAACAACAAAAGAGGGTAAAAACAGATATTGATATTCAGGGGCGGATGAAGGCTCACGGGTGCCCTCAGCACTGACCCATCTCGGTGCCCCCCCCCTTTCCACACTGACCCCCAGTCCATCTTAGTGGTTGACCAGAGCATCACTTGCCCCGGATTCCCTATGTATACCTTGTGGCTAATAGCCACCGATGGACCTCTGCTCCATATGCTTCAGCTGTTACTGAAGTGGAGCTGAAAGTAAAGCGGGGTGTGTGTGTGTGTGGATCTAGCATGGTAGCAACCCACTTTCCTTTCCAGATTACTGAGGTTGATATAAAACTATGAGGCTAAGGTATTAATTTTCTAATTGCATCTCTGGTTCCCTTAACTCTAGGGAGCTACAGCGAAGAGGGGGAGCACTCTCGTAATGGACATGACCATGGTGTGGTATGGGGCTCTGTGTAGTCTTCCTCTTCACCATATACTAGATACCACTGGGTAGATAAACAGTAAATTGGTAAACTTGTAAAGGGTCCTGCAAGGACCCCCCCCCCCAAATAAGTCAAGAAATTGATCGGTTTCTCTGTGTCTCCCAAAACTTGAGAACATTCCTACATTATTTTAACATTTTTGCGTGTCCTGGACAGTTTTGTTGTAGCAGTCATCCTCATCAGCATCACCCTTGGCATTTCTCCTCTCACTTTCTTTGAGGAGAGGGGCAAACTTTTTAATAGTTCCTCACTTACCAGCCACTGAATTGTATTTCCCTTCTTTCCAGGGCCTGGCAGGAAAGTCTCTCCCTGAAAGAACTGCAACGCAGAGGAGTCTGCTTGCTGAAGCTTGAAATAGCCAGTCAGAGAACGGGGTTGTATGGCCGGCTGCTTGTAACGTTCCAGCCTAGAAAGCACGGCTCAGAACTTGCAGAGCTGCCTTGTCACAGTTTTGGGCCTGGTAAGTAAGTACCTCTTGACTTAAAGACGAAGGTTAACTTCAACCAGGGTTATTTTGGGGCAGGAACGCACAGGAACGGAGTTCCGGCTGGCTTCAGAGTTGGCCATGCCCACTACAGCCCAAACCTCTGCATGCGTGGCTACAGAGAGAAGGCCTGGAGAGCGCCCCCCCCGCGACTCCAAGGCGGGCAGGCCGGGGGGGGGGGGCTGGAAGGATTGGGGGGGCATTTAAATGCTTCTACAGCCTGTCCAAGGGGCGGCTTACCCGGGCTCCCCGCAGCCACAGGGCACCCAAGCAAGCCAAGGGAAGGCACGGGGTGTGGCCTAATATGCTAATGCACTGTACTGTCAGGGGTGTGGCCTAATATGCTAATGAGTTTCTGATGTTGGGTGTGGCCTGTTATGCTACTGAGTTCCTGCTGGGCTTTTTCTACCAAAAAAAGCCCTGGCTTTAACTACTGAACACAGAGGTGCATGACATCACAGGTTCTTCCTGCAACATCAATGATGTCACAGTTTTAGAATCAAAGTGTAGCTGTAGCAGCAAGGAAATCAGGCTTGTGATTAAAATAAAAACCGGGGATAGATTAGTCCATTGTCTTGTTTTAAGCTATAATTAAAACAAACCTACAGGTGTTAGAATTTAGCCGGTCATTGTAGGTCAGTAGAACGTAGCTTGCTCTGACTTGGATAGCCCAGATCTCAGATCTCAGAAGCTAAGCAGGGTCTGCCCTGGTTGGTATTTGGATGGGAGACCCCCAAGGAATACCAGGGTCGCTACGCAGAGGCAGGGCATGGCAAACCACCTCTGAATGTCTCTTCTCTTGAAAACCCTGTGGGATTGCCATAAGTGTGCTGTGACTCAACAGCAAAAGAAAATGTAGCTCAGACTGATAGAGTAGTGTTATGAGAGCAATGATGGAACTTAGGTGGTCTCATATGTATTTGTCCATATTAATAACTGGCACAGTGTGCGACGCAGAAGGCTGTGCTGTGCTACGTTGCGTGGTGTTTGCAGTGGAGGAAATACAAAGCAAGTATTCCTATACAGAATGACTGGCCAGAAATAAATTAACTAAAACCGATACGTATTCTTGTCTCCCACTTGAATAGTGAATGAGGTGTTGTTCTTTATTCTGGCTCAGAATTGTGAAACAGAGGAGGAGGCTACAGTCCTTTCAGGTTCATACTGAGAGTTTTAGGAAGACCTGATAATACAAGTGTAGTTGGTATACCTCTGGTCTTACCAGGGTAATTCTCGCCTCACCCTATTGGAGAGTATGCTTTAAATGGCTATGTCTTGTTTAAAGCAGTACAGAACAACCGTGCATTATCTATATACTAATCTGAAGTCGCCCCCTGGTGTGTGGATGCTTAAATCTGCGCACCGGGGGCAGCTGGGGGGGGGAGGGAGAGTTTTGTGCACACGTGGGGCGGTCCCCAGGTGTGCACAAAAATGTAAAAAAACCCCAAAATATTGGGGGGATATTTAAATCCCCCCAAAACTGACAGCGTTTCCTGCGCATGCGCAGGGAATGCCCTGCAGCCAGCCTAGCCGCCGCTTGGGGGGGGGCAGCGAGGCCCGGGCGGCTGCAGCCGCTCGGGCCTCTCTTCGGCTGGGGGGTGGGGGAGACCAGCCTGGAGTTCCGCTGTCAGGCAGCGCGGCCCTGGAGGAGGGCAAGCGCCCCCCCGGCAGAAGAAGAAGAAGGAGCTGCCGCCACCGCCCCTGGGGGGTCCTTGAAATGCCCCCCGGAAGCCACCGACCCGCCCGTCGTCGGACGAGGCAGAGGCCACGGGAGCAGCTCTGAGGAGGAGAGCCCGTGAGGCGGTGGGAGGGCGCAGCAGGGCCCCTGACCCAGGTGGAGGGAAGGGGGGTCGGTCGCTCTGAGGCGCCCGCGGGCTGCGGGTGGGAGGAGTCCAGCCTCCTCCTCCTCGGCTGCGATCCGGCGGGCCCCGGCGTGAGACAACTCGTCCTGAGGAGGCGCTCTGGCCCGGCGAGCGAGGCGAGGCGGGCGGCGCTTGTGCGGCTGGACAGGGCGGCGGGCAAAGCGGGCCCAG